CACAAAGAAACAGGGATGGTCACTCGGGATAGCCTGCAGAGCAGGCGAGATTTTTTCGAGCGAGCGCTCACATCGTAAAAAGTTTAGTCGCCATCTTGAATTTTTCATGCAGTGGTAGACTGGAGAGAGAGAGAGAGAAAGTTTTACCAAGGGGATAAATGATAGGCAAGAGGAAGGATAGGGGAGGGGGTGGAGCGAAGACATCCCCCACCGTCTAACACGGCGGTCTAACATGGTGGTCTAACATGGCGGTCGCAAGGTTGTAACGCTAACTCGCCCCAAAAACACGCCTGCACTGCAGGCTACACTCGGGATGGAGAAGATTAACATGGACTACGACCAACTTGAATAATTTAGGCTAAACTTTTCAAGATATCTGCAAACCGTGACGTAGTTACAAACCATTTCACGTTTGATTTCTTCCCCGCACAAAGATCAGAAGCCAGTGTAAAAGAGTGAGGCCCGGGGTGTGAGCCTGTCAATCTTAAGCCTTTTCCGCTGTGGAGCATTTTAAGCCGATTTCCTTCTCCGACGCAGAAATGAGGAAGTTTCAACGAGCAGTGAACACACACATACAAAATAATCTTTAATTAATTTAACTAAGTGTGACTCATTTACCTGCAATACATGAACAATGATGAAGTACTGACCAATCTCCTACGGAAATAAAATAGTGCAGATTTAATTGTCCAACCAATTATTCAAACGAAGCCTCACCAAACGGCTACCGGAAAACAGCATTTTCCTTGCCTTAAGACATCTCTAAGACTTACTCATTTGATAGACATGTCCGTTTTAATGTTTTTCGCACCATTTTCTTCACATGTTAAGTTGTAATCCAGGAAGACGTATTAAATCACTATGAGTAGAGGATGGAATTACTCGGAGCAAGCCAAAATAAACAATTAAACGCCGGAAATAAAGGCTCGTCACGCGAAGAAACGTCTACGAGACTACGAATACCAAAACCCGGCATGTGAATATTCAGCCAGATTTTATATATATTTTTTTCGGTTTTGTTTTTTCTCAAAACGGTTCAAATTTTTGAAGTATTTGGAATTTCTTGAAAACATGTACATCTGCCATCGAAAAAATAGTCTGTGGTGTTTTGATACACAATTATCGAATTTGCGCTTTGTTTAGTGGCATCAAAATAGCAGAATTGGTAAGATAATTCACTAAGATGAAATAAGCCGCTTACAAAACACGATTGAAAGCATCAAATATTAAAATTGAGTGAGTTCGGAAAAATCTAGGGTGGGGTCCGTCAACGGAACTCAGCAAGGAAGCGAATTCCATGTGAATAAAATCACTTACATTATTTATGGTTGTTTAAACGAGAATTCATTAATCACCACCGCATAAAATAACTTGTGAAACAAAGATTTAATAAACACTTGAGAACTGAGAAGTTAATTTTGAAATATTCTTCAGCCTAAATTGCCTCGTTACGAAGCGGCGAAAGATGACAGCTGAAGCACATGGTTTCCATTTACAATTGCATTCAGAACTGTCAGTCAAATTCAGTAAGGCACTCGTTGATTGGTCAGTGCAAAGAAACCATTTGAGTGCTTCTGTAAGCAGCTGTCTTCTCGAACCTACCGTTGTCAGAAAAAGAGGGCTCGCGGATGTGAAAACACTAGTTTCGGGGACACAAAAAACGCTTTGTAAAAGTAATCATCGAACAATTTCTACGTAATGACCGCCATGACGTTGCATAGAGGACAGATGGAGTATATTCAACCACCTCAGAACTCTCAGGTAATATATGAAGTATGCCTTTTGTGTCGCATTGTAATTTGGAACACGGTACATGTCCTCATCTTCTAAAACTCACACCCCCTTTCTTGTGCCCGCCCACCAAACGCTTTTAATCGACAGGAAATCCAACCCTCTCCTCTGGCTCTGCTAGCTGCGACTTGTAGCAAGATCGGACAAGGATTTGAGGCCCCAAATAACGTTCTTCAAGCGCCGATAAACCAACTCGTAGCACACCAAGAGTTCGCGACCTCGTGGAGTTCCGAACAAGATGCTTCGCCGCACGCGAACGATGATGTGTTCCATTCGAGCACTGCGAACGTTCTCCAAGCTCAAAGTCACCCAAACTCCGGTTTATATACCTCCATGAGCCAGGTGGAACATAGCCAGATGTATTATGCAGCCGTTACAACGAGTCCGGGAGTACAAAACGTGGGCACACTTTCACAACAATCGCTCGCGACAAACAGCGAGGCAAGTGTAAACCTCTCTTATGCGCCGGAATACGATTTATCCAAAGCGGTCGAAGGCGCTTGGACGGCCATAAAATCGGACTCTGGGGATTCAAGCGGTGGAATCGGGGCGCAGTGGTGGCAAGGAAAGCCGTTATCTTGGGCGAAAAGCACGAGCAGTCCTTCGCATCAGTATGTGATGTCGCCCACAACGGTTGGGAATAACGACGCAGGTATGCCGATGTTACAACAACAACCGCAGGAAGCATCGTTGGAAAGTCCATCACAAAATCCTGCCTATGTCCAAGTAACGAGAACACCACAAGGACAGATTATTTTAACGCAAGAAAGCTCAGAACCGAATAAGTGGCTCTCTACCGCAGTAAACGCTGTAAATGTAATCTCGGCGCCATCGAACGCCACAAACGGAAGCACAACTATTCAAGTTCAAGTTCAGCCTGAAACCTCACAAGAAACACAAAATGTCAACATGAGCGAGGTAAACGTGAGCCCTACAAGTAATCGGCGTCTTCGCCGTGTCGCTTGCACTTGTCCGAATTGTAGAGAAGGTGAAGGAAGGACGGCGGATGGCCGAAAGCAGCATATTTGTCATATTCCCGGCTGCGGTAAAGTTTATGGGAAGACGTCGCATTTGCGAGCACACCTTCGCTGGCATACGGGCGAGCGGCCATTTGTATGTAATTGGCTGTTTTGCGGGAAAAGATTCACACGCTCCGACGAATTACAGCGGCATCGGAGAACTCACACGGGAGAAAAACGATTTGCTTGTACGGAATGTGGGAAGAGGTTTATGAGAAGTGATCATTTGTCGAAACATGTGAGGACACATTCGAACGGAAAGGCTGTGAAAAGCAACACAGTAGTGCAGGGTGCGGAACCCATTGCAATTCGGCCGATTCCTCGTCAAGAACTTCAAGATATTTCAACCATCGAAGCAAGGCCGGAAGAGATTAAAACTAGTGAAAGCGACCGCTCGGCGGTTGTTGGAGTAGATCTACCTGGTGTTGCGGTTGCTGTTGAACAGAATCAATTGTCTGAAAATGAATATTTTACCGGCGATGCTACCGAACATTATTTGAGTGATATGAGCGTCGCGCACGAATTTGTTGCAGTCCGAATGGACGGAACACAAGGTACAGCTATTTTAGTTGCGCAGAATATTAACATGGCCCCACAAGGTGTTTAGTGGTGAACGAAGGAAGTAAACAAATTATATTCTGTTTTGAAAGACGTTGACTTTTCAAGAACACAACGGCACATTTTCTGTTGGTGTTTTGTTTCTTAATTTGAGCGATTGTGGCAGTACACATTTTTGTACAGGTTTACAGAAAAACACAAAAAAATACATCTTGCTTTGATCGGGTTTATTGAAGCGGTATTCTACGGTTTGCTGAAGTTCGTGGATATGTTAATCATGTTGGGACACAGCCAACTGTGGTTGTATACACATTTATTCACACAATTTATATGTATATGGTTCAAGCAAAGCAATCATTTAGTATTGTTCTTCATACGTAAATTTTGACCACTAGGGGGCTGGATCTTGTTCTTTTTAAATTATTTCAGTAAATGGTGTAAAATTCGTATTTACAAACATTGAAGCACTAGAAGAAGGACTTTTTTTTGTATAGTTTTGTGTATCAGAGGGTTTTTAGTCTTTTTATTCTGTTTCAATTTCGTGGTTTTGTTAGAGGTTAGATCACTTAAAAGAGGGTTTTTTTTGCATAAATGTATGAGATCTTTTTTATACCAATATTCAGCTCTATATCTCAGCAATGTTACCAAGATTGTCAGAATTGTGGATACAGAGTACATATTGAAAAATAAATAAGATATTAATTTTAGGGCCAAAGCTCTCAGAAATGGTTTAGGGGGCTAATCTGGTCGCATTTGATCTTTTTAAAACAATATTTACAAACTCGTGTATATCTTTCTGGAGACTGAACATATATAAAAATAAAGCATAGTTTCCATACATTGTACAAACAATTTTTTTTATTAAACAAGGAATTCATGAAATGCTTTCAAGATCTTAAGTTTATTTTTTCACATACCTTCTTGTTTTAATTGAATAGTTTGGGTCATAAACCTGTCAAATCATGTTTGGATTATGAGATTTCTGGTTTAGGGGCATTAAACTGTCTGACATCCAAAATCTTGAGACTTCAATATTATTCAGGATTTTGTTGCAGACTTTTTAACTCAAAAATTGAGGTCAAAAAACTCCCTCGAGTCAAGTGGGTGCAACATTATGTGAAAACAGTATGTGTTTTGAGAAGCAACCTTTAGCAAATCGCCTGAGGGACTAGTTGTTTAAGGATGCTTAGAAAAAGTGTTAAACACAAGATAAATCGTTACCTACTGCATGGCATGGCTAGTTCAGCATTGCTATCCAACCTTTGATCAAATGGGTATGAGGTCAATTTTATTGAAGAACAGATTCTTCAGGTTTTTTTTGCAGTTAGGTAAGGGAGTGTTAAAAACTTGAAATGGCGAAATGGCACTACGGGTAAGAGCCGATATGGGATATGGGTGTCTGTTAGGGTTAACCATACAATTATTAAGAGTTAACCACTATCCAGTCAGTGATATTTAGACTAACTTGAGCACTATGTAGGCTAACCGTAGTAGCCTGTGTGACAGGTGTTAAACGTTTTTTGCGTCCCTACCCCTTCTGCGTTTACGCTTGCAACGCAGGCTAAACCGTGGTGCCATTTCATCATTTTTAAACACCCCCCAGCGAAATAGTTCCGCCTGAAAGTATCTATAAAATTTGTTACAATAATTGGCAAATCCCGAAACTACTACAAAAATAGCGACCTCAAATACGAGAAACAACGGAAATGACGGACATCGTTAAACCTCCATTCTAGATCTCTCAGGGATACCTTTTCCCGCAGTTTTCCCGCCAGATGCCAACGGCTGAGCATTGACCAATCACAGGTCTTGTACTATTTCATCGGGACGGCGATCAATAGATGTCCACCAGCGGCTTACAAAGTAGAGTATGCTCTGTTGTGTCGTTCCGCCATTTTGCCACCATTGCATCAACTGTAGCAACTTTAGAAAGAAGATTATTTCTGCGGTATTTTTCCATTTCATTCCGCTTTAAAATGCCTCCGAAGAAGAAGGAAGAAGAGAAACCAACGCCATTAATGGGCCGATTTGGAACCTCGCTGAAATGCGGGATTGTTGGTCTTCCGAATGTAGGGTAAGCAAAGTGTACTTGCACAGCTCACGTGGAACAAAGAGTACCATTTTATTTTGATTTTATTGTAGCCTGTTGTTTATCCACGTGTAATTTTCAGGAAATCGACGTTTTTCAATGTGTTAACCAAGAGTTCAGCTGCAGCAGAAAATTTTCCTTTCTGTACAATAGGTCAGTGTTCATTATAACGACTTCATTATGTGTACAAATTATGTTTGATGGTCACCGATCTGGAGGCCATGTTGTCGGGCAGGGAAATATTTGACTCGAAGCATTGCAGTGTTAGAATGAGCTATCCATTGTCAAAGATTTTGACACTTAAATAACGTTATTTCATATTTCAATAAAAGTATTATTTTTGAGGGTCTTTTGTGTTCAAAACATTGCAGAAGCTAGCTAGATGTTAATTTTAAGATATTTCATAAGGTTGCCAGTGGTTACTGGTATAGTATTGTACTCTGGATCATTTGTTTGGGCCTTCCCACTATCTCAATGTCATGTTCTTGGACAAGACTCTCTTCTTGTACTTTACTCTCTTCTTGTACTTTACTTGTTCTTTTTTTTTCCTCCCAGGCCTTGGACTTGCTCCCCCAGCTGGGGGGTGGGGGGGAGGGGTGGGGTAATAATATTGTTTACTTTTAGTTGCTTCATGCTATGGTAAACAGAATTAAACAACCTGGCCCCGGTTTTTCGAAAGGTGGATAATGCTATTCAGCGGATAGCCGTAACACTTATCTACTGGATAGCAATTTATCCAGTGGATAGCATTATCCATTCAAACAACCCAGGCCTGTACTGTTACATTTCTAGAATGCCCTGAATCTGAGAACTTCTCTCTGCTCCAGCTGAGGGAATATTGAGATTCTGAAGAAACAAAATTAACTGTGTCCTTCAGACCAATCATTGAGTGCGTTAGCCGTTAAGGCCTATGTACAAACTTATCTACTTTGTGATAATTAATTTGTTTATCTTTTTTCTGTATTTTATTTCAGATCCCAATGAAAATAAGTATCATCCAATTTTTTAAAATAATATACTTAACAACTCCCAGGTGAATTCGTTTTACCTGTTTTGTTGGATCATGTGTACTAAAGGTATCTGCAGTCAAGTGTTGATCGATACCCTCAATCAATACCCTTGGTCAACCCTCGATCGATACGCGATTGACACCTCGGCTGACGCTCGATCAACACTTGATCAACATTTCAATCAACAGTCAGTGAGGAATCAACTAATTTTTGCGGACAATGACATGCCATCGAGTGTTGATGAATACATATGAATTGGTTGACACTTGGCCAACTATCGACCTACTATTGACCTAGTGTCAATTGAGATGTTAATTCGAGCGTCGACCAAGTGTCAACACTGACTTCACTTACAATACTTACATCTCGTACAATACTAACCCTACTTGCAATACTAACATTACTTACAATACTAACTCTTGACTACTTACAATACTTACATTACTTACAATACTAACATCACTTACAATACTAAAATCACTTACAATACTAACTCTTGACTACTTATAATACTGACATTACTTACAATACTAAAAGTGCTTACAGTATTGACATTACTTGCAATACTAACTCTACTTACAATACTATCACTAATTACAATATTGACATTCCTTGCAATAGTAACATTACTTGCAATATTGACATTACAATACCGACATTACTCACAATACCAACAGTAAATCCAGTTACATGTCAATACATCATTTTAAGCCCATGACTTGAATACAAACAATGCATTTTACATCTTTTGAAGATAAATTTATTGAATATGCAAAATAATTTTCTTATACCAATAACTTTGCTTTCCCCCCATATACGTCGAGTGGCTGTTCCAGATGAAAGATGGAATTTTCTCTGTGAATTTCACAAGCCAGCAAGGTAAGTTGTTTGTAACTTTGCTGGTAGTGTTGTTTGGTATAGTTGTTTTTGTAAATGTCTATTCATTTGTTTACATTCTTTAATATGCAGATGGTTGTGTTGATTTTTCAGCAAAGTTCCAGCTTTTCTTCATGTAGTGGATATTGCTGGTCTTGTTCAAGGAGCTCATGAAGGCAAGGTGAGAATTTACAATTTGTATCACAAAAAAAGTCAAAACTTTTGTGGAGTAACCCAAAGAGATTAAGAGTAAAATGCAAGCTGGGGAAAAAAAAGATTGAATTGGGCCAGTACTTAAATTTCAGTTTTCACTTGCCCCACTTAAATATTTTTTGCCAACGTGGAGGCCAGTATGGAAATCAGAGGACAAATGCAAACAAAGTATGCATGGATTATTAACTAATCCATGTTTTCAACCTAATGGTTAACTAATCCTGCAGTCTTAAGTTTGGAAATAGCTTCTGGCTAGAAATTATCACTAATCAAGCTGACCTTTTAATTCAGTCTCACAAGACTACTGAGGCTTATTTCACTTGCCCACCGGGCCACTGATCTTCTATTTTCACTTGCCCAACAGCTAAATTTACTTACCCTGAGCAATTGGACCTGGGTTTTTTCCTGCCCTGGCAAGTGTTTTTAAAATGCTTTGTGAAATAAAAGTCAGTTTTAAAAAGTTTCCTTTATTTGCAGGCTTCCATTTTATCATGGTCTAGTTTGAAGGAGGGGCAAAGCAGCTGTACTGTCCCTTATCCTTCAGCTGTAGGAGAATCTTTGCTAACACCAATGTTTACATTTTTTGTCATTAATATACGCCTTTGCGCAGAGAAGGCATCGCGCTAGGCACGAATTGACTACAAACATTTGAGCTTGTGAATTTTAGTAATTGGTGAAATGTTTGGCTCTTTGGGTGTAATATCTGAGGAGAAATTGGCTTTCAAAAACTGCAAAATTTCCGTGTGGCAAAAGAGCTGATGAGCTCATACATTCTTTGTAAAATTTGAGTTTTTAAACCCATGTCGCACATTCAATACATCAGGCTTAAATTCCTTGGGACAGTTAATCGTGCTGTGCCCTTTCAATATTCAGAAGTAATGTTTTTGTAGCTCCATCAGAAACTGAATTGCTTATGCTAATGAGGTAAATATTGTAAACAAAGATTCCCCTATAGCCTTAGATTAAACAAAATTTTCCACAGTCAAAAATTTCTACTTAAATAATTTCCATGCTGATCATAGGAATATATTTCACAGGGTCTGGGAAATGCTTTTTTATCGCACATATGGGCGTGTGATGCTTTATTCCATATGATACGTAAGTAGGAATTTTCTGCTTTTTATTGATTGTCATTGTCTCGATGTTATTCACATCAGTTAAGTGTACTCATGAACCTTATGTTTTTGCTCAGGTGCATTTAGTGGTGAAGACGTAACACATGTTGAAGGTGAAGTGGATCCCGTGCGAGACTTGGGAATTATCTCAGAAGAATTAAGGCAAAAGGTCAGAGTTGTAATGTAATGTATATAATGTATACTTAATTGGCCACTCCCCATTGGGGCTTTATTAGTCTTAAAATTACGTAATATCTAGCTAAAGTAACACTAGTCTTATTTTAAGAATTTAATTCATTCATAAAATAAAGGCAACCTGAAGTAGCATTGGTTAGTCAAGACCTAAGGGTAGCCAACAAGTCAAGGACTGCATGGGATTTTAGTAAAATTCTAACAGATTTCTAGTAGGTTATCTCACTTAACATCGCCAAACATTTTGAATTCTTGTGGTTTTTTCTTGATCAGGATGAAGAATACCTTAAGGATAAAGTGGTGAGTTGCCATTTATTTTAATTTAATTTTCCATTTTATGAAACAATAGTACAGGGATGTTAAGCCAATGATGCTCAAACAGCACATGATAATTGATTCTCCACTAACTATCATCAATATGATGTGTGTGGCAAATGAGATAAACCATCGTTAATGATCATGAGGAATTTGAACAAGTTCAAAGTGAATGATAGTTGACTATGGTTGATGATATGGCATGATAGTAAGTGGTCATTTTACCATCAAATGGAAGCATGTGCTAGAACTGTCATGGACTATCACTAATTAGCTATCATTGTGTGTCACTTGACCAGTGCTTTACAGTTGTAGTAAAAATGGTAACTATGTCATTTGTTTTTTAGAACACAATGGACAAAACAGTTGTGAGAGGAGGTGACAAAAAGAGATTAGGAGAATATGTAAGTGGATTTATGAACTCACTTTCTTGCCTTAAATTTCAGTTTCCATGTCAGTATTTAAATATAATTATATTCAATTTGCATGATAGAGTAGACTCTGCCATTTCAAACACAAGAACATTTTAAACGTCCTTTGATCTCTCAAGCCTTAGTTCTGTGACAAGTTTGTCAACTGTGCAAAAGTCAACACCTCTGATAAAAGCACTTTAGGCATGACTAGTCTCAACCATCACATGCTTCCAGAGAAGCTTTATTCAGTTATCGTGTCGCCATGAGAGATATTTGATGGTGTTGCCCAGCACAGATGTGTATGGCATGTCTGAAAGGTTGTTAATTTATTTAAGTGTGGAAAATCAGAGCCATGACAACCAATCAAAGAGATTTAATAGCTCCTTGTAATTATTCATCATCAATGTGTTGAATTTTTCACCTCAGATCTCACTGGCATCTATTTTCTCACAGTGATGTAATTTTGGTTACACATGCAATGGAAGACAATCTGGTTTTTCTCCAGGGTGGGGGTGGTGGGCCGTTGAGGGTATAACTGCCGTAGTGCATAGTTGATTGTGTGATGTAGACAAAATTTGTAACACTGTAAGGGACATTGTGTAGTTTCAGAAAATATCCATACCCTCCCCATGGAAGAAATTTTCTCCAAGGGACCCCTCCCCCACCCCTCTGGAAATTCCAATTGAGCTTAAAATACATTTTAAATTGTTTGCTCTTAGAGAACCCCCACCCCCCAGGAAATTCCAATCCTTTCTCTGGGGGAGTATGGATCTTTTCTGGAACTGTGCATTTCAGCTGCAGTGCCTGTGTTTCAAATTAACTTTTGATGTAACTAGTAGTACCGTAACATTGTAAAAAAACAAAAAAAAAACTCTTATCACTCATACGAAGAGTAAATGTTGAATTTCTTTTTGCAGGAAAGCTTGAAAAAAATTTATCACTGGGTCTCAGAAGAGAAGAAGCATGTAAGGTTTGGAACATGGGAAGCTAAGGAAGTAAGTTTACTTTTAACTTAAAAAAGGTCTGGGTATGGTTAAAACCATGGGAGGCACGGTGGCCTCATGGTTAGAGTGCTCAACTCCGGATCAAGCAGTCCAGGTTCAAGCCCTCAAGCCCTGGTTGGAGACATTGTGTTGTGTTCTTGGGCACGACACTTTGCTCTCACAGTGCCTTTCTCTACCCAGGTGTATAAATGGGTACCCACGAACTTAATGCTGGGGGTAACCCTGTGATGGGCTAGTATCCTATTCAGTGGGGAGTAGAAATACTCCTAGTTGCTTCATGTTACAGAAACCAGAATAAGAGCCTCTCTGGTCTGATGGGCCACCTGGCTCATGTGCAGACTTTACC